AATTATTTCTTTTACAGGCCTGTGGAGTGAGACGAAGAGACAGATAGGGTTCAGATCTTTAGGCACGAATTACCTTGATGTTTTTGTTTAGGGTTGGGACTTCTCATGAGCAGTCTGTGTCTATGTTGATACCACACTTTGGCATGTTTGGAAAAGCTGGGCTGCTGTCACCTACAAGCCTCTACCTGCTCAAATAACTTTGCGAAATAGCAGCACATCTGATGTCAATCCTCACAAACACACATGCTGTACAGGACATTATAATGATGGAATATCCCTCAACAAGATACATATTTGAAAAAATAAAGAAACATAAACACGTTTAGAGGAAAATACAGTAGACAGAAGCCCTGAGTAGTTAGATGAATATGTTGATACACATATTGTTTTACTGTCACTGAAAATGTTGTCAGTTTGCAGGACATTGTTAACAGCAGTATGGTAATTTTTTCCATCCCTGTTGGATCTGCTGCACATGCCAAACAGCCTTGGGCAATACATTTACAATAATTCTCAACAATTGATCTGAGGGTTACCAGGGAGGTAACCTGTTGGAGCAGTAGAACAGCGTAGATAAGACCTGCCAGGACATGTTGGCTTTTAAATGTTTGTGCGTATGATCCAGTCATGCTGCAGACTAGTCTACCTAATCCTGTGCTGTTTTACAGGGAAGTATGACGAGATTATTGAGCAAAATCAATTACACCTTAGAAGTACTAACACTGACTCACCGCTTGAATTGCTTTAGGAAAATTCCAATGTTCATGCTCCTCTTGGAGTTGAGGATGGAAACCTGTGAATGGAAACAGACACAGACCTGGATATAATCAGCTTGTCAGTCGCTAAGATAATTTTACTATTGGCTTCAGCAGTGTCTTTTGTATCACAGATACCTCAGCTTTTCAAACAGACAGTTGATTCCAAAGGTTAGGGATTCTTTGAGATGATTGTATTGAACAATCAGGGCAAAGATACCATTGCATCATTGATGCATTTTCTTGGAAAATGGGACATAGGTCAAAATATGAGTTTGGTAACAGATTTTAACCCAGTTTTGTTGGGGAAACGTCAAATAAACAACAAAAGAGAAGGTCATGAATAGATGTGTTTTGGCTTAAGACTTTCAATTAATGGCAATAAATGTAGTTTATTAGACACAATAGCTGGAATACAGAGCATAAGTATGCTATTATACAGAATAGTGCTGTGAGAGGACACAATTATACCGAGACAGAGATGAAGAATAGTTAAACTCCACCCTTGTATTGAGTGATTCTAAATCAAAACACAGTGCTTCTTAGACAAACATTATATCCGGTAATGCTTGTACAAATAAACTGGTTATTTAGATTTTTAAAAAGTGATGTTTTCAAAATATCACTATAGTCCCATTCCCAAAAAGTCACGTGATTTATGTCATACGTGGAATGAGTCAACATAGGATATCCACATTCAATAGAGTTTGCTGCAGACTGGTTTTAGGTTTTAGCAGAGGGAAAAAAAAGTCAATCCAGGTCTGAAGAAGCTGTCTCCATATCTCAGCATTACACAACAAAAATAGAAAACATTTCAATGTATTGCGACATACTCTTGGAGTTAAAGTTTTACAGACTCAGCAAAGTTTGACACTTGTATCCTGTGGCTGGAAAACTCACCATCACCCCTCCTGAAGCAGTAGATGGCAGGCCCCTCAGACTCTGCCGATTCTGGGCCTTGAGTTGTTGCTGGTCCTGCTTGTGGCTGAACAGCTCCTCCATGTGATCAGTGTCCAGCTCATATTCCCCATCAGTCTTATCTGCTGTCCAGATGTTGTGCTTTCCTACCACACTGTGTTTGGGAAGGGTTTCCCAGTTAAAATTGCGCATCCTGGAGCGCCGGTGCGCTCCCTTGGCAGACAGGCCTGGGCCATGTAGGGATGGAGGGAGGCCTGGTACTGGAGGTGGAGGTGGAGGTGGAGGTGGTGGAGGCGGAGGTGGTGGTGGTGGTGGTGGGGGTGGTGGAGCGGGTGGATCTCCTGGTTGCATCTTTCAGCAGGTTTGGGACACAGTCATGGTCTCAGTCACACATACAAGCAGGAGTAAAATCTATAATAAATTGGCAGCAAAATATAAACTGTTCTGAATGTTTTATTGGATTTTGCTGCAGCTGTTGTGGTGAAGAGACTTGTCCAAAATGTTGTCAGTTAGGATGATGCATTCAGACTGAAAGAAACAGAACAGGGTGGGGACAGATTTACAAAAAGTCTCATGTACACTACGACTGGAAGCATTTGGGTTTAGCAATGGATAAAGCATTCACTTTCTCCACAGTAACTAAAATAAACGACTCTAGTGACTCAAAGGGTTCTCAAAACTTAAGAAAACCATTGTAATAATCTATGATACACATTACACTCATCATGCAGAAGTAACTCCAAATCCACCAGAATTATTGTGGGATTATTATGGGCACTTTAGGAAGTAGGCTACTATGAAGAAACAGATATTGAGAATGTTAAATGCAGTCAATCTAGATGCTTATTAGGCAGAAAAAAGTGAATAAAGATAGGCATGAAGGCTAAATTGTAGCTTATAAAGGCCCCGGTGTTTTGATGAATCCAGCCAACTTTATCCAACTTCATCTATACACTACTAAAATCACCATTTGTTACAATGTTTCGTAATATACTAACACTAGTATTACGTAAGGATCGGGAAGTAGAGAGAAAACTCACCTTTGTTTTTTATTCAGCTGCTGCCGTATTATCCTTATTAGTTCCTCTTAGTCCTCCGCTGTCTTGTTGGAACTTCACCATCCAAGTGGAGACTGTCAATAACCCGGATAGCGCGAGAGGAGAGTGTCGAAACTACCTGCGTGTTAACGACACGCCCAGGTAATTTACAGCCCACACCTTCCGAGCAGGGGGAACTCTGGGAGTTGTGGCTTGTTGGCTGAGGTTTGGGGCTCTGCTGTGTTTTCTGTTGAGCTGTCATGAACCTACGAACGCAGTCCACTACATTTGTAGACTCTTCCAGCGTCATTAACGTCCAGACTGATGGGGAAAGATAACTGATTTCTTGAAGGTGTTTAAGAAAATTACTGTTAAGAATACACTGTTAATCAGTTGTAGAGCTGGTGAGCTGGATTGCCTCTTTATTTAATTTAATTTTGTTAACACATTAGCAGTGAATAAAGGAGTAAAAAGGTAAACAACATACTCTGGTTAAACATTAAGCCATTTGACCAGCTCACACAATGTCATTTGTTTAAATGTGGCCTGGTGGCAGACTGGCCTTCAACTGTTTGCAGTGTAGTCAATTAGAGGCAAGCACTTCAACTCTGTTCCACAAATGATAAGCGGAATGATATCTGCACTACCCTAAGCACATTTGTATGCAAGCCATGTGGTTCTTTACAATCAAATACTGAAACTCAATAAAGTGCTTTGACTAGACTCCTCATCTGCAGTATACCACATGATGGCTACAAATTGAAACAATTTTTCATTCTTCATCCTATTTTTCTGTAAAAAAAAAAAAATGTCTGGAAGAAATGAGTTTCTTATTTTTAAGTCAGATATTTTGTAAACTCAGCAGTGCCAAGTAGTGCAAGGACAGGCAATTTTGAACTTTACTTATGTTATCATTCTTTGCCTTTGAGAGTAATGCATTTCATAGAAGAACTCGCTGTTGTCCATTCCTTTTTTTTTTTTTTAAAAAAAAGCATCGACAGAATTTATACACTCAAACATTCCACATAAACAACATTATTAATATAATTATGGCCACTGCCATATTTTGTTCACCAGGAATGTATTTTTTTTACTGCAAAAAGAGTAATGAAAGTACAGTGAATTTTAACAGGGGAGTCTCTAGAAATATTAATATTCTTTGCTGCATACTTTCATTCAGAGAAGACTGACGGGAGTGCAAAGAAGGGATAAATTCTTCACTTAACATCATCAGACCAAGCACTCTGTGCTGTGTGGCATTTAAAGATAAGCTTAAAACCAAGACACATGTACCAAGATACAGGGATTAGGGGTGTGCATGGAGGATCAATTCTGTGTCTGAGATGGAATCAGGTTTATTGGGAGGGGAGCTGGAAAAGGAGATCATCACAAGAACATGTTTGTAATTTTAATGTTACTGTTTTGCCATGTTGGTAGGGTTAACGTGCTGCACACACCTACTGTACACAAAGAACGCATCCGGCTTGTTTAAGCTACTGTTGTTGAAATGACATCAGGTAAAACTAGTCTAGCAATATTGAATATGAAGGTTACAACAGTGGACCTACAGTCTATTACAAAATAAGAACTAACCCTAACATTCAGTCCTTAAGGAGAGATACTGAAACTTCTGTTATACCTCGAAACTCTGTAGTTTCGTATGTATCCAGCGGCCCCATTCTCTGTATTGTTATGTACATAATCAAAGGCACCACAAAATAATGCATACAGTAAGCCACAGGATGTCATGGGTATATATCATCATGTCTACAGTTGAGGTTTCTTTTTAAGGCTCTCACTACATGTATGTGGGCAACAGCTAGAACTAAGTTTGTAATGTTTCCTGATACTGTTAGGTGTAGTTAACAAATTAGTTGTGTGAACAGAGCTGTAATTTCCATGGTCTCCAGACTGCATTTCTAACTTCCTTTCACTGAGTACTTTTAGTGTGTGAAGTTTGCTGAACTTAAAAAGGAAATTTATGTTTCAAACAGCAGCATAAACAAGAAACTGCTGCCAAGATCACAAACACTGTTTAGTGAGCGTTTCATGTGCCTTTCTAAAGTAGACTTACTGAACGGCACTTTCAAAAAACTAAAGTATAATTTGATGATTATGAAACAAAATAATAAGTCTCGTAATAAGTCATAGAAAGCATGTTAGAGATATATCAGTTTGTATTATCATGTACATAATTGATAGTGCCATACAAATAACATACTGTGAGTTTTCTGTACATAATCTGAGAGCTTCTCATCTGAAACAGAGATCTGTTCAACGCACGGCACAATTAAGTGAAACAAAACATCCAGCAGATTTATTGGAAATGCAGAACAAGACAAAGACAATCAGCGGACTAGATTTTAAAAGAAATATACATAACATACAATGTTGTGTCACAAAGTGATTGGTAAATAAATAACACAGAGTAAGAAAAAATGTACTCATACATTCTGTCCTTGAAGAGACACTGAAAGTTGTTCTATAACCTAGAGTGCATGTTGTATCACATGTATCCAGTATTTCCACTGTTTGATTTTGAGACTTCAAGAGTGAGTCTCAAAGGCTGTCTTTAGTTGCACACTCACGCCTCCTATTAAAACATAGTCAATCAAACACTGGCAATCTGTTGCATTTTGATTTCTTTATGATAGTTCAGATGTCTGTATTCATCAAAGCATCTGATATATGAATTGATTCTATGTTACTGAGTGTAACATCTGTTTTTGAGGCTTGTTTCCATGTGTAAACAAGAGAGACACTTGTAACTGTGCTGCAGGAGGACATATCTGTAGCTACCCAAATTTCAGGAGATTCAAACTAATTATGGGTTGGATATTAGGTTAGAGAAAATCTCAATATTCAAAATATAATATTATCCCTTTTATGCATGTGAAGTGTAAACCGACTGTTCAGGCAGGTATACCACAAGGCGGTATTAGAAGCAAAGTGGGATAACTTTAAGAACTTGTATCCTGATGTCTCTGATTTAAATCTCTTAAACTAAATTCAAAGAATACGGTTCAGTCATGCATACTCAAGAAACATAAGTACAATTTCAGAGGACATTCCAGAACATTTTTGACATTATCCCACTGACTTGCTAATCTCATTTGCGGAATTCCTTCAATGTAATATACTCTGAAATACAAGATAACGCTTTAGACAACATTGAAAAACAACAAAATAATGCATGTGCAAAACTGCCAAGGGGTATTTCCACAACAGTAGACTATACTGTACATAAATAAGAAGTGATATTCATGTAAATGATTGTGCTACCTAAAGAATAAGAAAGTAACAAAAGGTAATTTTGTGACTTAACAAAAAGATTCTAAATACAACTGAAATTGTTGTACCATCTACGTAATAAGTGATACTGAAAAACATTACAAAAGAGATATCTCATGTTTTTCTTTATCACTGGCCCAATCAGTCCTATAATTTATGCGCTGCAATCTTGTCCATCTAACCATAATGCCAAGTTCTTCTCTGACTGGTTCGTCACTATACAGCTGAACCCTGAGCGCTCTTTACTGCTCCTCCAGCCAGGATGGCTTGTCTGATCCTGGGGGCTTTAACTTTACATTGAACTGTATCAAAGTTTGTTCCAACTGCTCCTGGTTGCCAGCAAAGTAAGCTGAGATAGCATTGTGAAAGAGAAGCAGCTGTTTGTGCATAACCTTCACCTAAAAGAAGAAAAAACAGAAGAGGGGAATTCTGCCATTACAAAAACAGTTTCAAGTGTTTACAGGAAAGTACAGCCCCATGGACATCTGTTAGGATGACATGTAGTAGCTGCTCAGATTAGTTTCTGAGAAATCAACCTAATAGCAACTTTTATGTTACATTCCTCCATGATGTATTCTCAAGTGTCCAGCAGGCTATTTAGATATTTAAGACATGAAAAGTCTTACAAACAGTGAGTAATGTTGATTTTTATCTGTCTTATTTTTCATTAACTTGGCACAAAAACCAAAAATAAGACAGAATTATGCTTTGTTCTTAAACAGTGTAGCTCACAGGTGTTTAATTTCACACATCTCAGGCATTCTCTCTCTTTACTGTAATTATTTACAGAATAATAGGCTTGTGTGCAAAAGAGTCTGTCTGTCTCTTTTAGTTTGACCTGGACTGCCTCAATAGATGCGTACCAGCAAAGGAAAAGATGCATTTTGTGCCCTAATGTGGAAAATCGGTCCTACACCACTGCTGCAGGACATAGTAAGTCAGAAGTAACACAAGACTTACTAAACTTACTGTAAACTAGACATTATTTCACAAATCAATGATGTGACAAAGCAATGACAGATTGGAATGCATCACAGTATGCTCCATCTCTTCTTAATATAAATTACCAGCTTGCTGATTTTTTTCCACATTTAGAAATGTGTCCAAAAGCAATTCTGAGCTGGTGTTTTTTTAAGGAGTAACTTGGCTGAAGAGCAGTGTTCACTGGTTGACAGATTCAAGCCTGTTTGACTTCTGACCACACCCAGCATCACTGATGCCTGTTGGGTGTGTTTAAAGGTGTGCACTGTTGCACGTGTAACCACTCCAAACAATGATGTCAGGGGAACCTATAATACACCTTCATCACTGTTAAACCAGTGGAGATCAGTAAAAAGCAAGATTTCAAGAGACATGGAGTTACTTTTTAAATGTGCAGATATAGGAAATAAAACAATTGTAAACCACAAACCTTGTTTTCCTCCAGGAATTTAAGCTTGATGGTGACATCACTACGCAGCCTTTCATATTTGTCTCTGTGGATCTGATAGTCATGCTGAGCCATCTCAATGCGGACCATGGCAGCTGCATCCCTAGGGCCCAAACTCAGCTCCTCCAGATCAGAACGATAGGCATCAAACTCAAGTCTGCAAGCAAAAAAAGTTCAGGCTGTCACAGACAGGTATTCACCACACAGGAATTCAGATCATATTCCTCAACTCCTTAGCTGGATATCAGGGTTTATTACCTTGCATTTTCATACTGCTTAATGGTCAACAGAGTATCCTCCATTGTTTTGTTTACCAGGGTGTTGACACTGGACACAAAGAAGTTAATGGCACCGAGCAGGGCCTCGCCATTCCTACACAACAGCTTTTGTGTCTCTGCATTATACCCAAACTCGTCCTGAAAAGGAACACATAACTTTTACCTGCTAGCTTCAATTGCACGTCACATCACATGGAAAGCTTTCACAATTCTGTACACTACCTGCAACTCTGGGGACTTCTGGCTGAGGTCGGTGAATGTGTCTCCTAAAGCCTGTTGTGTCTGCACCATGCTTTGAAAATGAGTAGTGAGTGCAGTGGCCAATCTAAGGATGTTTTCATACTTGCTCTTGGTCTCTCTTAACACGTCAATCTGAGCTTCCAGTTCCAGGTCTACTGTTCTTGAACCTCTGCCAAACCTCTCTGAGAACATCTGCTTTGTACACTGCATAGTGGACATGGACAGAGATTAGATTAAACCAAGCATAAGGAAAATTAAATGAGGTTAAGGTGGTACAAAAACATGGAATCACTTTAACTGAGGTATAAGTTGCTAAAAAAAAAAACTGCTGAAGATCACATTTCAGTGAAGCAAATACACATGTAACAGTAATAATATAGGGTAATGCAGTGAATATTCTTAGTAAACCGGATACAGAAGCAATATGGATAAGCCTGGTACCAAACAATACCACAAAATTGCTCATATGTATTTTAAATGTCTCTTAAATGTTATGTTCAATACATGCAGTTGTAAGAGGGATTAATAGAATCAACATATCATTTTATCAGCTTATGGAAATTTTGGAAACAAAGTACATACACACAATGCATGATACCTTGTATGTGTTTATGCCCCATTTCTTTACACTGTCCAATTTCTCCACTGCCACACCTCGAGAAACTTCTTCAGTTGAACTGCCAGTGTTATTGTTTGATGACCCTAGCAGAGAAAACAACAAGAACAATGTACACGCTGTGGCATGTTATTCTATCAAAGTTTACAAAGCAGAGGTTTGCAGAAATTGCATGGGTCAGGGAATGAGTGAGGATGGCGTGGACATGGTGATGAGCCTGGTGATACCTGGATGCAGGTCTGTGTGTTGGGCAAGTCGACTGGCTGCAGATTGACTTTTAGGCAAGCCGACACCTCTGGATTTCATGCGAATGTCTGAAATGAGCATGGTGATGATAAAGAGTGAAGATGAGAAAAAAGCACGGAGTGAAATATGTGCCGAAAAAGTCTGGCAGTGAGATATGTAGCTTAACAGCAGAGTATGTAGACTGAAAGAAAAATGTTAGGTTCTGTGGTGCAGGAAACATAATAAAACTGGAGTTAAAGAGGTTCTAAAATAATCCGCCATGCAGGTTTTGTCACGCAGAAGAAAAGGATTTATAAAAAGATGAAAATGGACTTAAAGGGATGAGAGGTAACTACCAAGCAATTACAAAACAGTCATCCAAAGTACATTTTACAGTACAAAAGAGGACATTCTTATTAGACAGCAATACAACATTTAAAGTGACAGCCCTGTAATATCAGGTTAGTGCACCCCTAATTTTGAAAGCTGCCAAAACATTTCTTGTTGCTTAAGCTGTGAGTTGAAGAGGTACGAGCAAGGTTGCATACATCTCCATCGGTCAGGCAATATCAAAACCTCTTACACGGGGCCAAACAGACCAACATATAAAGGTTAACTTAGAAAACAGAAAGGACCGTCAGAATACACAGCCACCTGGTCCTGGTGCAGGGGCTCGTCTTCTGTCCAGATACTCAGGGTTGAAGCGAACTGCAGGCCCTATGGGATACGGATGTTTGTAACGTGAACCAAGAACCTAGAGGTCAGCAAACTCTCTAGTGACACATCAAATTACAAGGAGGAAAAGCTCTCAGTATGGTTTCTTAAAGAGGCATTAAGTATCGACCTCTTTGGTGACTTAAAGATTGCAACAACATTGACAGGTCTCTGGCACAGTGCATGGCAGCCTGCGCAGCCTGTTGGGAGGGGATATAGATTCATGATGTCTTTGCAGCATGAACAACAAGAATAAACAACAAAGCAAAACCTGTGAGGGATGGCAGTCAGGTTTTCTCGCAGTACCTTTGATGGTGCTGGTAGGAATGATGCCCCCTGCAGGTCCTCCATAACCGCCTGAGACAATGCTGGTTTCATTCAGGTTGGGTCCAGACACCATCACCTGCTGCAAATCCTGATGAATTTACAACAAAATATCAGTAATTAATGTGCTTAAAAATGCAGTGAATATTATTACAGAACCAGAAAGCTGCAACTTCATTTTTCACATTAACAACTTAAAGTAACTTCCAACCAAAACAATTATTATTATATTATTGAAAATCAGATGCATAATTTGCAATATTCCAAAATTAAAATAAGAACAAGAAAAGTGCAAACAAGGATTTTTTTGGTTCAAATTTAATAATTTGTTATATTTTGTCACTTGAAACCACATCAAGAATTTGCTTATCTGCTGTGCTGCTATTCAATATGATGCACCCAGCATCATTTTTCTCATGCAAACAGACATATTATTCATGTAGGACTACTGATACTGCAGCTGTCTTAACCCTGTCACACTGTACCTTAATGAGACATAAAATGATGCACTATGAATTTTATTGACTGCTTCCAATTAATGTCAGACTTAGTCCCTCTCCATGCACTCAACACATCATTGTCAGTTGCAGGTATTGATGGTGATAGTGGTGTATAGCTACTGTACATAGCTACAGGCCTGTGCATGGTTAGGTAACTGCTGGCCTAACCAGCCTCAGTCCCAAACTGTGCTATAATGTGAACAATGATAGAGAAGCACAAGTTGAGCACAAGATGCCAAAACAGGTTTAATAAAAGAACACTGTCAGTGAGGTGAGAAAAATGTGACTAACTGACCTGCTCTAGGCTGTCATCCTCTGGCAGATTCCCTGTATCTCCATTGCTGTTAATGGGGATCTCCATGGTAGCAGCCTTGCTCATGATACTGTCTGCCATAATTAAATCTCTGCAAGACAGCACCAAACATTGACACATAAAAATGGTAACGTGCAAGCAGTTTGACCAAATAATGATCATAAAGCGTTCAGGTCCACATCGACACAAAATAACAGCTTGCTCACATTGTTGCTAACGTGGCTAGCTAATCTCAGCGGTGCTGATGTGGCTAGTTGGCTACAACTTGACAGCTAGCTTCCTCACCACTGTGGCAATCTGATATTTGGAGCCAGGTCCAGTCGTCCGAGGGAGAAACAAGCCGTTGCTTGCACTTAAAATGCAAACTAATTTCAACAGGAAAGCGCCGTTGTCTTTAATTATCATTTAATGCTAAATCCATGTTTATTTTCCAGCAGTGTTCACGTTATCTGCCTGCTTCCATGTAATTCAGACAGAAAATCCCTGCATCCAGCCAGCTCGCAGCTTTAGTAGTATCACTTCGAAATAAAAGTTGACGTGATTTTTATTCTATTGCATGTCAAATGGCAGGGCTTTAAAAGCAAAGCACTTCGAGTAAAACAGATAATCTATGTTGTCCAATGCGTGTCGTTTTCCAAATCAGAGACTGTAAGCCCACATTGTGAATGCATGCTTTTATTGTGAAGGATAATACCGTTAACGTAGCATTATCGTCAAGCCTCCTCCCCCCCTTCATCTTCCACGTCGTACAGTGTCGACGTAGCTTTATCCCTAAACTGTAGTATTACCCTGCTCCTGAAGATGTCACTATCATCTCACTGACTAGTCAAAAGACAGCCTGACATGTCACACAATGCAGTAACTCTCCATCAGTAACTCCATTTAGGCGCTGGCCCTTCAAATGTTGTGATTACTAACCATTAGAATGAAGGCTGTTGCGTCCTGCCTGGGACATTGATTGCAATATCTCTTGAAATCAAACTGTATAAATACAGTCGTTTGTTTTGAGATGTGAAAGGCCTGGAGATAGACTTCACCCTAGTAAACTCACCACACTTCCAATTATTTGCCTCATTTGTTTCAATCAGGGATGCGAGCAGAGTGCACATGTTCTCCAAATGTAGAAGTTTTTCTGTAATTACTCCAGGTCTAAACAGAGAACCAACCCCTCACACCCACCCACACTGTACTCCTACAGTAAAACGGCTAATTTTCCTTGATGTGCTGACTTCCTGAAAGTGACATATTTTCCAAACATTTAAAATCTCATGTTGAAAAGAACTTTTTTCGCCTTCTTGCTTCTTCTTCATCTCTGTCCACCTTCTTTTTCGGCCTTTGCACTTTACTGAAGTTGACTACTGCACCCCCAAGATCAAAGACAGCAAATCATGAAGCCGGGTTAGTCATGTTTTTCCCTTAATCAACAAATCAACACGTCAAAGGTTATTTGATTGGTATATGTTCTGTTTTTGATCCTCCTGTCAAAATTCATACAGTATTACATCTGACAAGGTATTTACCATATACAAACATAACTAAGTATGTTTACATTGGAGCATTCTCAGTCATCAGATTCACAAGATATCTAGAGGTATGTAGACAAACTAAAGTTTGATCTACAAGTTAAAGAAAATTACTTTTCTGGTTGTTGAATAGTGTCTGCAAAATGTTTGCCGATTTACAAAACTAACAATCTGACAAGCATGCAGGCTTCACACTGCAGCTGGCCAGGTGTGAGGAGGTAAGAGAGAATGCAGGATTGTAACATCTCTTTTTAGCTCTACTTCTATTCCTTTTTGTATATGCAAATGAGTGTGACACCATGAATACCTTTAGGTGTTATTATGACCCTACTTGGAGTCAGTGTCTGATTTCGCTGTTTAGGGCTACTGTAGAACAACATGGCGGACTTGGTAGAAGAGGACCTGCTCTGATTGTTGATGAAAACGGCTCATTCTAAGGTAATAAAAACACAATTCCTATTTCCAGGTGATTACAAACTAATGAAAATGTAGTTATTAATATTATTTGCCATTTCTGCTGATAGATGCCCCTAAATCCTACATACTGGATCCTAAATATCTTGGTTGAGAACAGCGGTCCAATTGGTAAATCCCAAGCAACCTCTATTCTAACTTCGTCTGGTACAAGAATGCATATATTTCTTCACATATGGAGCAAATACAGCTACATTTGATACTGTCAACAGACTAAGTTAGAATACATATACAAGTCTCATCAGTCAATATATAGCTTATAGCCTATTGCCACTCTTTTTAGGGCAGGAACTGAGGTCACACAAATAAAAAGGTAATGAGGCTGTTGCTGTTACCATCATCACAAAGCTAAGTATTTCAGTGGTTGACCAGCTACAGTACTTTGGTTCCTGTTTGGTGAGTGAATAATTGTATGGGTATGTTTTGACTTACCATTTGAAGCAAGTGACTGACTCAACATCCTTTAGCTCCAGTACCTTTGACCTCCACATTATTCAAGGGCCAAAGAGCTTGCTGTTGCTGAGGCTTGAATTTTAAAACCAGTTGTATTGTGTTTTGGAGTGGAGGTAAAGGATATGATGTGCAGCAGTTAGTTATTAGCATTGTAAGGGATTGCAAGCTGCAATTAAGTGCCTAGGGCTTGTTTAAACAGACTTTAATCACAAATGCTCTCATGTTTCAGCATGTTAATGGGATAAACATCACATTATCTTAGCTTCATGACAGTCAACAGTTTTAACAAGAGCAGCAGTGGGGGTTTTATAACAGTTGTCAAACTCTGTCTTCTCTCACCCTTGGAAATAAATTTTAAGACACCAAATTCTCACACAGGAGAATGTAAATTTAGTATCGCCTATAAATTTAGAACAAGACCAAATTAAATTTTAAAGGTCTTAGGCAGGGTCTCCTTTGAGACTGCACTGCGTGTCACAAAGTCAGCGTATGCATGAGGGGAGCATGAGACCCAAACCACAGTGTACCCCTCCCCCTGTCATTTTAGAGAATAGTTCAGCTTGTTTTTAATGATCATTAAGCACGCTTCCAGATGTTGGGAGGTAAATTCATCCTCACACACTCCCCTGTGCTCTGCACCAGCAAACAAAAGTACTGGAGTGAGACAGAGAGATCCAGAAGAAAAAAACAAAGCAGTGTTGCCTGCATCCTCACTCCATGGGAATTACAAACAGTGCTCAATTTTTACATTATAGAGCATATGGAAGTAATTTTTTATAGTGTCTTTAATGTTCTATTTCAAACAGTCAACCTTTTTCCCAGTTGGTGGTTCAATCAATGCTCTCTGAGTGAAACAACAATTCATCAACATAATAGATCCTTAGATGCTTTGAATGGCAATCGTAGAATGACTGGAAAAAACAACACAAGAACAATACATATTTATGTGCTTTCCCTTCGCTGAACAAAGTTTGAACAGTACACATATGGGTCTATGTGAAATAATGCATGGTTTAGAAGGGTAAATTATATTTCAAAGAAACATTATTTTGATTGACATATGTGTTTTTAAATGTATCCCTGCTGACATAAAGACTCTGTTCCATTTTTTTACTATCCTCTTCATTTTAAGCCTTTCATTTAGGAATAAACAAAGAGCTGTCAAGAGAATTTCTATTATTTAAACTGAGTCCCAGACAACTGAGAAGAGTAATATTTTAACACATGAAAAGACAAAAAAAACAAACTTAAGGGTATTTTTTAAGTGTTAAAGGTCATTTTTATTTTCAAGACATATTTTCTCTTCTATACAAACCACCTCTTTGTCAGTGAGCACAACGACCTTGGCTATATGGCGTGAGAGCAATGGCCCTCCAGAAAATACAGGCTTTACTGTTGCTCTGATGTTTCCAATTAAATTCACCTGCATAATCAGAGGGACAACCAGTCAGAGGCCGCAAATAAACTGAGAGGGCAATTTAAGAATCGTAAATCCCACAAGGGCTTGTTGGCATTTTCACTGAAGTGTTAAAGCAGTTGTTAATTTTGTTTTCATGAACGCTACCTTTGGTTGGCGCACAGAGGCTGTGGTCAGGATATGCACGAAAGGGCAGTTGTTTAGTTTATACTGTTTACTCACTTTGTCATGCAATTTTCTGTTTTCCAGGTCTCCAATTTTGCAAACTCATTTATTTTAGTTTCAGGCATTTTTTCAAACCATGAATTAGGACTGCTATACGAAGATATTTGAACTCCATGTTAAATATAATACTGTATCGTAGTATGATATAAATATATCTTGCTCGCAAAACTTAAAAAAGCTATTATAATGATGATTAGTTATAATGGCTATACAAGTATTTCTTGAAATCAGAATATGTAAATGGAACATTTTGAGCCATGAAGCACTGCAGATTCTGTCAATTACGGCTTTATTTAAGCTGCAAATGGCCATCAAATGCAGAAAAATGTCCATGATAACTCCCACCTTTCATGACAAAAGGATTCCTGCCAATTAAAATAACTGTCTATGCTCATTTCCTGAGATATGCCAATCATTTGAAACTTGTATTGCAACATAACAACTGATGAGGCAAAAGATTTCTGGTTTACCAGATGCCTCCTCATACTGTATGTTCACATTTGTTTAGACTGCTGCATACATTGTGCTGCCGCTCAGTAAATAATCATGCAGCTTCACCAAGTGTGGAAAAAAATTCTGTGGGAATACAAGGAAAGTGTGGGTGTCTTAAAGTCATTAAACTACTGAATAAAAATCTGTACAAAGCAGGGTTATTTGTGGACATGTAACCATGATGTTTATTGACTTAAGGGTTGTTAGGAGAACTATTTATTTTGACAGATTTTATTACCATCATTTAATATGGTGTTTCTTGGAAAAGGAAATACTGCATAATCTGAAACCTAGATTACATGTCATAGACTCAAATGATATAAACATTATGAGCATAACAGTAAAACTTGACCAATGCACCAGTGGAGCATCCCAGCATTTTTTCTCCAGTTAACTGTATCCAGGAAGAAGTATTCCAATAGGTTCACATCAAATCAGTCAGGTCCGGTACATAGTACACAGTACTGGAAGCCTCTTCAGATGACTGCTTGGGGTATATCTGTATTCTCTTTTTTTGTTCACTATCTAAAGCCTATGAGCATACGGGCACAGAATGGAGATTAATATTTAAAGCATGTTTGTATTAAGTCCTATTTAGAAATATCAAGGCCAATGTTACAATTCCAAAGTGCCCCAATGAGTAATTAAAACTGTTCTTCACATCAGTTAAATGGGCGGCAGAGAGTCAGTGGACAGGGCAGTCTTAGGTTATGTGTGCAAGAGATAGCTCTTTGGTGGGATGGGGGCAGTGTAGCTTGAAAGGCGCTTGAACCTACTTATCTTCACTCATTGGAACATTGGAACTAAACCAATGCTCTGTTTGGCTTAGACAAAGGGTGGTTCCTGGGTAGAGCGTGCAGAAGGTAGGACATGACGCGGATTAGGCTACACTATGGTCACGTAGCTGGTTTGTAATTTAGTCATAAACAACAGATCACTTGCCATTCCTTGAATTTGTTTGAAGAGTTCGACTTCTGCCC